CTAACAATGTGCTTGTGAGATTAAATAATACTTACAAAGACGAGCGTTTGCCGAGGGTCAACACATGAAACAAAGATTGTTACAAAGACAAACCAAACAAGAGCGCTTACTCTGCTCGACCAGGAAACTGATGTCTTACTTACCCTTATATTTTAGCACAACAAACAACTATAGCTTATTATCACACTGGGCTGAAGAAGGCGCTGCGTGGCCCAAACACGCTGGTCCCTTCTCTGTTAAAGGACTTTTATCAGAGTGCCTCGGATTTCACCCGGTCTTCATTTCCCATGGAAAAGGGAATCTTTGTTTTTAAATGTAACTTATTACATAGCATTTAAGAACGTGTTGCATTTTTAAACTTATAAATGTTTGAATTATGTCTTTAAACTTGTAAACATGACACCTATATTACAAATAATCTTATTTGCTGGTGTCACAGCATTATTTTGTTTTGGAGAGTTATCAAAAAGTAATAAACAAAGAACTTGTCATAATAAAAATCTGGTTGGTTCAAATGACTTTGCTCTAAACAAAGAAAAAACGAATACATGATATTCAATGATAAAAAAGAAAAAAATCTTAAATAGTGTATCGATAAGACTAGACGGGGGAATTCAAAAGGGTAAAAGAAACAACATTTTTGGGAGTCATCATCGTTGAGGAAAGGAAAATTAGCCAAATCACTTGGTGTTTTACACTTTCCAAACCACTCCGCATTACTGACCTTAGATAATACAATGATTATACCGACCTCACCTATGTTGTCAACATTTGGAGACAACGTTTAAAACACATACACTGCCTATAGTTATTTTACATAAAAAAGACCAGAAGGAAAATATATCGAGATTCATTAAATCCTGTTTTTGAGTGCTTGGTGTTAAAATTGTATGTTATAGTGGATTATACTATTTATCATACATTGTATAAGGTAAATTGCAAAACATTAGCAGCAAACCTCTAAGAGAACTTTGGAAAAAAGACAATGTCGATACACTCTGTAAGTAACTGACATCTTTAATAAAACCTAGATTCAGAACTACATTCATGGGAAGAATGGTCTCAGTGGAAAGGAATCAACTTGTGGAACTTAATAAAGACATTAAAGAGTCAAAATAAAAAATCATGGTTTTTAAGAAACAACAAAACTACTATACTCAATAAATATGAGAGTGTTACATAATAAGAAAATCTGGATTTTAATTAATGGTTTGTGTTTTGGTAAAATGTTGTACATAATGTTTAATTAATGGTTTGTGTTTTGGTAAAATGTTGTACATAATAATGTTGTACATTAATAATGTTTAATTAATGGTTTGTGTTTTGGTAAAATGTTGTACATAATGTTTAATTAATGGTTTGTGTTTTGGTAAAATGTTGTACATAATGTTTAAGGTATGTAATATGGGTGTTTAATCATTTGATCTTGAGTAAAAAGAAACCATATACCGGAAAAGAAACCCTAGTTCACATCTACCTACTCTGTTTCAAACTGTGTACATATATGTCTCTAGGGTTCTTATTTTTATTGTATTGGACAATTAAATTGATATAGAGACTGCTACCTTATGATTAGGGTTAGGATTATAACGCATTAATTACGATTGATAAACGCCACTAAAAATATATGTGTTTTTGCTCACGGAACCTTTGTCATCAGGTGAGTTTCAGACGGATCGTTCATACTGGTGTACCAGTTGGAACCCTGCACCCATCTCCGTGAAAAAAATAACAACTATCCCCTATTGTTTTAGTGCAGCACTCAGGACCACATGATAAGGCTATCACACACACACACACACCTAAGTGTCGCTCTTTCAGAGTTCGGGTGCAGTACCACTTGTTGTAGAAAAATAAAAAATACCTATACTATACAATACAATTTAGTCTTGTATAGCCCTAAATCACAACTGGAGTCATCTCAGAGGACTTACCAAAAACTACTGAAAATCACCAACACAGATCGGAGAATCAACAGTTAAAACACATAAAGAATATAGACCACATGCCCGTACATGTTGTAGAATATTAAAGTGTCCTGGATCATCACAGTCCTTCTAGTTTCTCACTAACTGTGCAACAAACCCATCCTGCATCAGCAAGGAAAAACTCATATGAAAAAAAAGTGCGAAACCTCAGGGAGACCCATAGTTTGAGAAAGGGATCTGCTTCACTCAAGTGTTACCTATTGGAAAATAGGGCGCCATACCACCTTTTCACCACATGGTACTACATGTATCACCCTGATTGGACGTAGTAGGTCCATCCTCCCTCCAACCCTTCATCATGATTCGTTTACACTGTTTGTTCTACCTTGATAGGCTGAGGCAGGTCCATCTTACCACCCGTTCAGCATGATTAGCTATTAACGCGTCTTCCCTTAACTAGGGCATCACTGTTTGTTTTAGAATAAGCTCGGTGTAAACCTACGCAGGTGGTACGCTACGCACTGCTCAATAAACCACTTTAGACAAATGTGAAACATTTACTTTATCACACACACACACACTCTGGGTCAACAGAGGACAACTCATTACACATTCAAAGTCACACCTCTTGGTAATACAGTGCAGTAACACCTTTCACCACTTGCTCAATAGCGCCGACCCTATTCTGAGGAGTTCAGGGTGCAGTACCACCTTTTCACCACTTGCTCAATATCGGTGCCTATAGTATCTACTAACCACTCTCCTTTGTCCAGACACGGCACTCTCAACCACGACGCGGCTAAGCTCCTTGTACATCCCATCAATTTTGTCGGCCAGCAGGTCGTGAATCTTGCGAACTGCCATGCCTCCGAATTTGTGGTAGAATAGGATCGCTCCAAACCCAAACAGGAGGATTCCCACCACCAAAATGCCAAAGATATATACGTCTTCCGAATCTTCAATGGACAGGGTCGACAGACAGAGGGGCTGAAAACTTGTTCCAGCTGTCAAGAGTATACCCCGCTGGTGAAGTCCCGTTTTTTTTTTATTCACACACAAGCTGAATCAATTAGCGCAATTTTGTAATTAATTTACTGCTTTTAATGCAACTTGTATGTAGTAATACACATTTTTATGAAGTCATTAGAAAATAAATCAGGTATAGTTCCTTGCCGATTAGGTTTCAATGGACTGTAGACAGTTTTCTGCTACTGAACAAGAGGCTCTTTTTTCTTTTTTTAGAGGAAACTTAGAATGTTAATAATGTTAATGCCATTTTATGTGGATTTATTGTTGTTTTAGTAAACAAACACAGTACATATGTACACTATGTTGACATTTATTCCATTCAAAAACTATTTACAGAAAAATATGGCATTATTTTGCCGATAGTTCGAAACGCGATTAATTACGATTCATTATTTGTTAAGCTGTAATTAAGTTAGAAAGTTATGATTATTTATATAGCGCATTTTACAGACCAAGGTCACCCAAAGCGCTTTACAATGTTCAGAGATAAAATTAACTCAATTAAAAATTTTAATCGTTTGATAGCCCTAATTTCAATAGAACATTTTGTTTTAATTTGAATAAGAACTTTTGTCCAATGGGAAAGGAAATAAGTTCTTATTTCATTGACAAATTGTCAACAATTAAAAGTGTGTGTAACGAGTCAGAAATATCTAAGTGAATCACATACATCAGTCAAAAACTAGAACTTAAGATATTCAGTGTTTGCAGTGTGAAATCAAAGCGATGGTAACCCTTACCCCTTATTTTAGGATTAGGGTTAAAGAGGTAACGGTTTTCCCTTCCCTTTTGAGCAACCAAGTACAGATATGTGTTTATGTTCAAATGAGTATAATAATAGGAGAAAATTGCAGGACTTTAACATTTGTCTTTAAAGAAGACTTTTCCTACAAATGGGATGGTTGTTTTTAAGATCAATGTTGATCAAAGCTAATTCTCCAATTCTCTCAATTTTATATGAGGAGCAGAGAGAGGGTGAAGGTCTGCGGATCTGAGGCAGCGCACATGTTCATAAGGCACATATACACATATCAGACAATCATTGAAGATCATTTATTATTATTGGTATGATATATAGGGCGACAGTAGCTCAGTTGGTAGAGCATTGGCCTTAAGGCCAGAAGGTCGTGGGTTCAATTCCCACCTCTGCACCTTCTCCACCGACTCCCACTGACTGCTGTTGTTGTGTCCTTGGGCAAGACACTTAACCCCACTTTGCCCAAAGCCCCCACTGGAAGATCTCAGCTCCTGTGGACTCACCACCTGCAGAGGATCAGTGAGGGGCTGGTGCTATGAGACTTGGGTGGCATCTCTGACTGCCACCCCCCTGACCCAGAAATGGATTAAAGGGTAGAAAATGGATGGACGGATGGGTATGATATATAGCACTTGCTTCTGCCAGCTTCTTCCCTCTGGCAGAAGATACTGTTCTCTGAGATGCAGGACATCTCGCTATGCTAATAGTTTTTTTCCACGAGCTGTTATCAGTTTGAATAGAGCACTTTAATGTTTTTGCACTTGTATAGATCTGTTTTAGTTGGTCAACTTCACAGTGACATTTGTTTACTGTTTTTAAAATTTGTTTTATTTTTGTCTTTGTCTTAATTTTGGTATGTCTGTACTTGTCCTGTGCACACTGGGAACTTTTACTAATGTATTCCAATGTAGTGTTACTGCAAATGGCGAATACAATGAATCTGAATCTGAATCTGAAATGTTTTCTAAACATTTTTGTTGTAGGTCTGAGCACTGCTGCTGTCAAAAGCATACAGAGCTTCAGGAAGACTGCAGCTCACAGAAGACACAAAAGAAAATTCTGACTTAAAATAAAAGTAACTGTCATGTTACACTTGCAGTTTTCTGACGTTAGATATGCTGTTGTTGGAATAATATAAAAAAACATTTGAGGGACCACTGTATACAGTATTAATAGTTATAAAAACCTATCCACAACCTGCAGATATATCCGTAAATTCCCTGTTCTTGTGTTTACTCCGTATCAGCTTGTTGCTCTTGTCCACACACACCATTACTCAGTTGCACCTTTTGTTTAGGAGGAGGCTCTGAGGGAGGCAGGATACTCTGATTCCTCCCTGGCTGCGGGGGGCAGAACCACTCCACTTCACTCAGGTAAATGAGGAAAGAACAGTCTGATCCATCCACACCATAGTACGCGTAACACGGGTCTGAAGTCCAGCGAGCGCGCATCCACTGAAGGAAAAAAACAACAAAATCATTACAAGGTTCTGTATAGAATTGTAAATGTAACCTTTCTTATGGCAAGGTAGCAATTATAGATACCATCAATAGTTCAAGGAGATGATTTACTTTTTGACATTGTGCCTTCAACAAAAACAGACCTCAAGTTGTTTATAGATCCATCCGTGCTAATACCAGGACCTTTATTTAACCAGTAACTATGAGTCATAGTAGTGTAATTCTTAGTTACCTAGTGTAACTGTAGTTCTACGAATGGTGCGTAGCCCCTTAGCTACGCTATGGGTATGACTCCCAGAGGCTCCCAGCCTCCCGCCAGAGAGAAATCAATGCTCCAATCCCTGAGCCTGGTACGCCATGCGAACCGCCCGGGAAACCCAGTACGCCAGCCACTGACAAGTCAACGGGGCGCCCCTGTTTTCAGGGCCCAAACACACAAACAGCTGATCAGAACACCTGAAAGAAGCTTTAACGTCCAGGTAGCATCTCAGCATCCTGATTGGGCACAAGAGATGCCGCCGCTCTTCCTCCTCTGAGGCATGAGGAGGTGGATAAAAGGGTCTGATCCTGATGACCCTAGATCTAAAGGCCGAAGTAATGACCTAGGGGAGAAAGGCTGGGTTGGGCCAAAGCTCTACCAGACCATCCCCAGCTCCAAACGACAGACAGGCTGGATGATTGGAGAGTGCACACAAATCACCCGCCCTCTTGGTAGAAGCCAAAGCCATCAAAAGGGCGGTCTTGAAGGCTACACATTCCGCTAGCCTGAGACACTGGCTCGAAAGGAGAGCCCGACATGCCCCTCAGGACCACCTTCAGGTCCCAGACCGGAGGCGTCCTCCTGAGGACGGGCCTCTTTCTGTGGGCCCCCCGAAGGGAGCGTTAGACCAACGGGTGGGACCGGGCCGAAAAGCTCCCGAACCCCCCGTGACCAGAGGCAATGGCTGACGCAAACACCGCCAAGGTCCCGGCAGCCCTCCCTTTCTCCAAAAGTTCCTGAAGAAACCCCAGAACTCCCTCCAGAGGGCAGGACGTGGGGTCCCAAGATCGTACCGCGCACCAGGCATTGAAAACCTTCCACCTACAGCCATAGGCCCTGATAGTGGAAGGGGCCTTCGCACCCTGAATGGTCTCCACCACCGATGGAGGAAGGAGTATGAGGCGAGTCGGGGGAAACGCATATAAGAGGCCCCTCGGCCAGGGGTAATGAGCCAGGGCATCTACCCCCAGGGGCGGATCGTCTGTGGCCCGACAAACCAGAGCGGGCACTGAGCGTTGTCTGCACTGGCGAATAGGTCGACCACTGGATGACCGAATCTCAGCCAGATTTCTGCAGCCATCCGCGGGGCCAGGCCCAACTCCTCCCTGAGTGGGCCCCCTCTGGACATCAGGTCCGCCCCTGTGTTCCGGTCTACCGGAACGTGGCGTGCTCTCAGAGACTGCAGATGCACCGCAGCCCAGAGCAGAATACTCGCTGCCAGGCAATGGAGGGAGGGGGACCTCGTGCTTCCCTGTCTGTTCAGATAAGTAAGTAAGTAAGTGAGTAATGTTTATTTATATACCGCCTTTCACAGACCAGAGTCACAAAGCGGTTTACAATTGTTATTTTCAGGCACTTGTCTCTCACTCCACACAGAGAGAGGAGCGGGGTCGCCAAACAGGAGGTGCATGCCAGACCTATTGATAGGTCCACCACGGTGGTGTTGTCCAAACGCACCATCACATGCCTCCCCTCCAGCTGTGGAGCAAAGTGCAGCAGCACTCTGCGCACTGCCTCCATCTAAAGCAGATTGATGTGGTGAGAGGGATCTGACCAGGAGCCGGCTACGGAGCTCTGGCCCAGAACCCCTCCCCACCCTTTGAGAGAGGCGTCCATGAACACCTCCACGTGCGACACGGTACCGACCAGAGGCACCCTGTCCTGCATCAGACCCGGGGTGAGCCAGAACCTGATGTGAGCATCCTCCCCCCGTCCCGTGAGGGGTGAAGCCTGAGTCACCTCTGAAACCCTCTCATGTGGAGAAGACCCAGACGAACCACCGTATGAGCCGCAGCCATCATGCCGAGGAGCGACCTGAGGCTCCGAGCGGGCACTCTGGGAGCGGTCGCCGCCTCCCTGGCTGAGCGGGTGATGCTCTCTCTCCTGTCCTCGGATAGTGCAGCTAGGAACCCCACCAAGTCCAGCTGCAGACTGAGATAGACCACGTGCTGGGCAGGCTGCAGCCTGCTCTTCTCTCTGTTCACCACAAAGCCCAGCTGCTGAATGTGAGACAGAACCAAGCGCGTGTGATCCACAGCCACCTCCCTGGACGGGGCCAGAATTAACCAGTCGTCTATGTAGGTTAATATCCTGACCCCTGTGCGTCTGAGCGGCTCCAAGGCCACCTCCACGCACTTGGAGAAGGTGCGCGGAGCCAGCGCGTACCCAAACGGGAGGCGGCAATATTTGTAACACTTCCCTCCCACAGCGAAGCGCAGAAAGCGTTTGTGCTCTGGCACTATCGCTATGTGGAAGTAGGCGTCTGTCAGGTCTATGGTAGACATCCAATCTCCGGGCCTGACGCACTCCAGCAGCTGCTTCGTGGAGAGCATGCAGAATGGTCGTTTGGAGATGCACTGGTTTAATGTGCGTAGATCCAAGATGGGACGCACCCCCCGACTTCTTGGGCAATAAGAAGTAATAAGAAGTCCACTCAGACCGCGGCGCCCCATTTCAGCAGAGATGCGACCTCCAGATGTGGAGCCAGCCTCGCGGAGTCCTTCGCCGCGTTGTCAAGCCTTTGGACTAGCCCCGGGCCAAAGAGGGACTAGGTGGAGATAGGCAGGTCCAGCAGTTGTCTCTTCTCCACCTCCCTGATGTCCGCCAGACCGAGCCAGAAATGGCGAGCACCAACCTGTGCAGCCGCCGCCATGGTACGCCCCCCGTCGATGGCCAGCGCTTGAACCATCCGGAGGAGCGCCGCCGAAGTGGTCTTGGCCCGAGTGAGGTCCTCCCCGCAGAGTTCCTGACCCGCGGCGAGAGACCTGTCTAGAGCCCCGGTGAGGAGCGCCATGTTGCTGGCCAATGCGACCACCTTAGCCGCGTTGGCATAGCAACGATCCAAAATTGACATGCTCATCCTATCCCGCTCAGAGGGAAGGAGAGGTCTGTTGCCTGGCCAAACAGAGGACTTGGGGAGCAACGCAACCGCGTCCTCCACGTCCGGAACCCCTCTGGACCAGGACCAGTCTTAGACCGTGCAGTAAGCGCCATAACCCAGGGCAGGGCTCCTGGCTGGCAGGGGTTTGGACCAATCGCATGTCGCGTAGTGGAACACCGGGTCCATACGCGGGCACAGCGTTGGCGCAAGCCTCTTCCTCCCTCGTACCGCAGCGCCCACCGACGTGAAGTCAGCCTCGGCCTGGGTGGGCTAAGGGGGGATAAAAAACCTCCTCGTCGCCGCGGCGAAGAGGCGGGGCATGTGGTCGAGCGGGAACCTGTCCTGCCCTCCACACACGGAAAAGTCCTCGTCAAGAGTGATGAAAGAACCCTGGTCCACGTCAAACTCGTCTTCCACGACGCAGTCTCCCCACTCCCTGGGCGCGAGAGGCAGAGCAAGCGGCACATACTCCACCTCGAGTTCGTCCTCCTGGGAAGGACCCGGGCGAGTCTCCACGGTGGTGGCATACGCAAGGTGGCGCTCTCTCTCCTGCCTGGGTAGAGAGAAGCACGCTGCGCAGCCAGGCTCCTGAGAATGGCGTGCTCCCAGGCAAAGGAAACACTGGTCATGCCGGTCCTTGCGGTGGAGCTTGACTCTGCAGACGCAACACCTTCTTCGTCCGACGCCGGAGGGCAAAGGGGAACTCGGACGAGCAGGAGAAGGCAGCGACATCTTCAGTCTTCGTCTTGCAGCAGTGAGTAGCAGATCTCTCAATGCCGCCAGAGTTCAAAGTGGCAGGTACAGCAGAGGGCTATTTATAGGAGGGACTCGCCCGTGACTGGAGCATTGGTTTCTCTCTGGTGGGAGGCTGGGAGCCTCTGGGAGTCATACCGATAGCGTAGCTAAGGAGCGTAGCACCATGATGTAGAATAGCAGGATGTGCAGGGGGGTCTCTCCACAGATCTAACTTGTGCCTAGGCTTTGGGGAGTCAACTGCTTTCTTCCCAAATATATTATATTTATAGAACAGATCAAGTATATTATGTACAGTGTCAAGTCCATGCATGAACAAGAACTACCCATTCTCAAAACTATTAATGTGGAGTATTTCGCTGTGACAAAACCCCCTCCATCTCTTTTGAGATGTTTATTTGGAGTTTTGTCTCATCGCTAAAGGGTACAAAAAACTGGTTTCACATGAAAAGTCTTTTTAGAAGACAGGTCTGGAGTGGACCTGTTGGCCTCAGACCAGCATCAGTCTCTCTCTTCCAGAGGCCACATATCAAACTCACTGAAGTGACTCTCCTGGCGTTAGACACACCTCTGGTTTCACAAAAAGCCCCTGCACATGCAGCAGTGTCTATGTGTATGCACCAGGGGCTGAGAACTGTATCCACACTGAAACCACTGCAGTATCAGCTGTATGTCGCCGAGAATATTCAGGTTACATTATGTTTACAGATCACCGCTGTGGGCTGTGTGCAGGTTTGCGTCACCGTGTAAGACAAATATGAATGACTTAGAGCCACTGAAAAGGATTTGAGGATGTTTTTTTCTTCAATAAAGTTTTGTAGAGCCAAGAAGAAACAACAATCACCAGAGATATCAACAAAAAAAGGAAAATATGTTAAATTATACAGTCAATTCTCAAAAGTAAAAAAAAAAAAACAGTGGAACGCTGATAAATTAATCAATAATAAAAACTATTCTATCTTTAGTATTGAAATAATACTTTAATGTTACACTATGATGATCGGTAGCACCTTCAAATTTGCATTGTATGTTTTTCTCATTATTATCATTATTCTTAAACATTGTAACATTTGCTCTGGTTTATCCTAAATTCAACTCATATGACACAATTTATTGGCTTCTCCACATTTAGGAAGTTACTCAAACTTGTTATACAAAACCTTTGTTAGGTTGTATACTTTATAATACCTCCTTTGTTTTATTGTACATACAATGTTGTGATAAAACCTTTATTATTTACTCTGAATATCTAACCCTAACCCTAACCCAACCATTTATTCATGGGATAATAAAGAAGCATTTGGGTGCCAAAGGTATGTTGCACCAAGGTTAGTGATAAACAGGACAGAGATATGAGCAGGACTAGTGCTTACATCGATTTTGGAGGAGCATTCAGGGAAGTGAGGGTCCTTGGGAATCTCACAATGCCTCGACGGTGCGTCCACGTCTGGAAAGAGGAAAAAGGTTACAATAAATCAAAGGATAAAAACAATGTGCAGTGGTCCCTTGCACACTGACTGGTTTACTAATTTTTGTGTGTTATTCTTATGTGCTTTTACACATCCTACAACATAGGCAACGTTACATATAACTGCTAGTAAAACAGTTACCGTTTCAGAGAAAGGTCAGAGAATGACCACGGTCTACATGTAACTCTCAGTTATGCTCCTGAGACTCAGCATGGTGGACAATGCCGTTTCACACAGTGTATGCACAGCTTTTGACAGTAGCAGTAGCAGCAACGAACGTTTGGTTTTGATATCTCTGCAATTGCACTTCAGCAATCGTGAGTTCAGGTGGTTAGAAGAGTGTATAAAGTGTATGGCCTTATAGCAAGGGTGTCCAAACTTTTAAGTAAGAGGGACAATTTAGTTCACCAAACTAGCCCGGGGGCAGATAAAGTCAACGACTGAATTTCAGGTGTACTATGGAGGGATGACACAGTGAGATCTCAAAGACTCTTTGGGTTTGCATGGCAAAGGACCACATAAAATGACACTGGGGGCCGCAACTGGCCCCCAGGCCTAAGTTTGGACTTGCCATAGCTGTAAAACATATAGCTGCTACTTTGCGGATTTCACTTATTGCAGGTTATTTTTTTAGAATTGTTTCCTCTGCCCTAAACAAGGGCTCACTATGCATTTTAAAGGAGTAACCCTTGGGTAATATTACACAGCAAATAGAGAGTAAACAACTTGATGCATACTGTATATATAAACTAGTGCACTGGTCGTATTCCTATACACAAACTTATTTCTAAAGGGGGAGCTTCAATCTTAGCGATCTCAGCCATTTCAACTAACATCTTATTATTATTGTTTAAATGCAATCCATGAGTAATTGAAGAAATCAATATCACGGTTAAAATGTCAACATCACTGAAGTGTTCCTTTGAAGGGATGCTGGGGTACACTGACAGACAGATGTTTATTGCTTTTATAGATGGATTAGAACAAACAAACAAAAAAGATGTGTGCAGGTACAAATTATTGCAGAAAAGGCCCTTGCATAGTAATCAAGAGATTGTGTGGCATTGTCATTGCAAAAAAAAAGTTTTTAAAACATAAAATACAAACAGATAACCAAGTTCCAATTCAAGTTTAAGAAAAGGAAAGGCTGATTGCAATTTAGGAGCATGTCCATGTATGTGTGCCGTGTATGTTATAAATAGTAAAAAAATAATTACAAATGGGCATCTAGTGTAGTCGTTCTGTGAGAAGGTAGATAGCACTACAGATTAGATTTTTCACAGCCGAACATCTTCTAATTAGCCATCAGCCCAAATAAGAGTATTGATTTGCCTGGATGCATTGCCTTCCCTGGGGCACAGGCTTGTCTTCAGCAGAGGACCGTGGCCTGGCCTGCGGCCCCTGGATAAACAGAGATCAATTAGACTGGTGGCTAACAAGCTGCTACTGAAATCCAAGGCTGTGCATATACTGTACACTACAATAGTGCCATTCATAAAACTCATTATTATCTCCTCTTCCTTTTTTATGCTCCTTCACTCACTCTTATTCTTGCAGACCAACTACGGAGGGTAATTAATAGTGCGTTTATGCCGGATGATCCTCACAGTGCACAATCACAGGAAAATAAGTAAAGAGCCGTTTCTTTGATTAGCATAGATAATGACAAGCCAATCCTTGGGAGAAGATATACTATTCCTGCTGTCTCACTCATCTCTTTCAAATCCGATGCAATAGAAACCAGGCTAACAAAGGGCAATTGAAAGAATAATATTATGATTTGTGTGTTAAATATTTCACAATTTTCATGGCTATACAAAAACTTAATTTGTTCATAAAGAACACATATTGTTTGTCTCAAAATAGAAAGAAACAGCTGGGTCGCGGGGGCCAAGATTTCCTACTCCACACTAGGGGTGTCACGATTCTCCAAATCCTTGTCTTGGTTTTTTATTTTATTTTATTATGCTATAGCACTGTAGCATACTGTAGCATGGATAAAGTACGATAATTACATTTTTAAACCCAGCGTTTTCCACCACCGAATAAAGCCGCAGATCTTCTGCTGCGAATAACCCTATAGCGTTAGTTTGAGTCAGAGTTAGCGGAGTCAGAGGCGGAGTGTCAAAAAGCAGGGAACATTTTAGTTGTTTTAATGCCATTTAACATCAGTATAAAACATAAAACGGAACTAGCGTGTGACTCAGGGCTTTCCCCCCACTGTGCGGGTAACTTACGTTCCATGGGTGAATTATGTAAACCCACTTAGTGGCTTTAGCGCGAGCTGAGGTCTGTGTAAGTTTGATTACAAATGAGGCTGGAATAGAGGATGGCTTTTTCACAGTTGTCAAATCTGCATCTTTGTGACGGCGGTGAATGTGTCCTGCCATTTTCATAGTGTTTCCTGTAGCTGGGTGTGGTACATGACGCACATAGCCCATCTTAGCATATCATAGCATATCTTACACACAGTGATCTGCATTGTAGGTGCCGCCACAATGATTTAAGAGAAGCAGGAGCGGCTTCAAGCTCAAGTCTTCTTTATCTGCACCTGCCATGTTGTCATAAACTGCAAGTGAACTAGCGTTAACTAGTGGCGGCGGCTACAATATCTTGCGTTGTCATCTCTCAGCTAGGGTTGCCAACTTGAGAACAAAAAAATAAGGGACACCATTTGGGTGGATCGGGTTGAGCACTTTTTAGACCTAATTTCAATCTACACAGTAATCATGGAATTTCCTAATCACAGTTTTTTGAATGTAATTTATTGACTACATTGACAACAAATCCTTAGTCAAAAATGGAATTGAATAGGTGGAACTCTTTGGCTGGTTGAGGACTTAATGCATTCTAATTAGTAATAAAAATATAAAAAAGACAAATGCTGTAACATACATTATTTATGTATGTTACAGTAAGTCTGTAGCAGATAGACATTATTCATATTGTCTGAGAGTTAAAGTGCGTGTACATGGCTTCAGTAAAAGCTATTGTTCGTTTACAAACCTGGTCTGGACATTTGTTGACGCTCCCTAAGTGCTTTTCTCGGCGCTTGCAGTGCATTGGATTCAATGGATTTCTCTGCATTAAAACAGCGCATTGAATTTGAAAAATCAACGTAGAGATGATCATTTTAGCACAATTACTTTTTTTTTTAAAAAGTAGCTTTCGTCAACTATTGACCACGGAAGTCAGAATCTGGGAATATGATGCTACTTTACCCATGAAACTTCTGCTGTGATGATGCTGCGGGCACGGCCCACTCTGGCGATTGTCAACATTAAACCAACGTATGTGATCAAGCCTACGCCCCTTTGACACTGATTGGCCGAAAGGTAGACGCTTTGTGTGTGTTGTGTGTGCGCGTGTGACATGCAGTGAGTGATGCATTTAAAACATCCAAAAATACGGGACAAAAGCCGTCCCGTATTGGGACGCACATAGTTTTTCTATAATACGGTACAATTCCGTATTTCAAGGGACGGTTGGCAACCCTCCCTGATGTAAGTAAACCTGGTGGGGGTGGGTTAGGAGTGGGTTTGATAAAAAAAATGTAAATTGTGACACTAGGGGTGTCACAATCTAAATTTTCCTGAAGCTGAAGGAATTCTGAAGCTTTTCACAGGGCAGCTGAAAGGCATAGTCCCTACAGTGTTCTCCTGGGTCTTTCCCAGGTCTCCTTCAGGTGGGACATGCCCTGAACACCTCCCAAGGGAGGCGTCAGAGAGCCTTTGGCAGAAATATTCTGGATTTTTATTTTCCGTGTGATGGGACCCCAAAAGCACTGCGCATACTGTACATACATATGGGTGAAAAAGATACAAAAGATACAATAAATACATCAACAACTCTCAGGATAGAATTATGCTAATTTCCCTTTGCCGTCCCACAGTTGCACTCACTGTTCTATCGTAAATGTTTTAAGTGGTAGGGGGATCTGGAGTGCCTACGCTAACCACTGTATTTCACAACAAGAAGGTCCTTGGTTTGATTCCACCTCCAGACGGGCCTTTCTGCGTGGAGTTTGTGTGTTGTGTTGCATGTTTTAGTTGTGTCATTTTGTCATTTTCAGCCACTTACATATGTTGTCATTTTAAGTAGTGTGTGGCCAAGTGGATGAACTCTGGATGAACGTATTGTGCAAGGGTTAAGCAAAAAAAGTTCAATGGAGGTTTGTTTTTAGTTCAGTTTTCTTTTTAGACTATTGAGATGATATTGTGACCTGAATAATGACATCATTAATAACTATGCAGACAGCCTCCCAAAGCCCATTGTGGCGCTCACCTCTGCTGCTGACCACTGCACTGCGCTGCTGGAGGATCTGCTCCACCTTCACTGCGGTTTGCGACATGTTCAGAGCGAGGGCCTGGATGCGCTCCACCATGGGGCCCATGGGCTGCATCCTGCCAACACGGAAACAACACAACCTTTAAACAAAGGAATAATCACATCGCTCATATTGTGAAGAATACAGTAAATACAGTAGTACAGCACTGTATAATTTAGTTTAGTAAATATACAAAAGGAGGGATAAGTTTGCATCAAGATTTATACGTATAAGTTCAGTCTTTATAGTTTATCTCCAATACTAGTTTGATGGAAGTAACATTTTTTTTTGATAATTGATTAGTTGGTTGATTATTCTTTCAATTATCTTTTTTTTTTTTAAATCATTCTTGTAGTTTCAACACCCCAACTTAGGCCATTCCTAGCCTGGTCTTATACCACATCATCGTATCAATTTAATATCGTACTACCACTGATGTGGATTTATTTTTTGTGGCATTTATTAAATCGTTTATTAGAGTTATTGTTTATATGTGACATTAAGTCTATGTAAACTAGATGAAAACTATTTAAATAATTGATTAGTAGCGATTGATCGATTTCCTTCCTTGTTTCAGCCCTAAACAGTAGCAAACATGTAGTCTTGTAGATTCTTAATCGATATAGTTTGGATATGCTTTTGGAAGTTGCTTTTTGACTTTCTGAAATCAAATTCTAATGCTCTCCTCCAAGCGTACACACTGATATAAACACTGATCCCTTAAAAGGTTACTAATGATATTTATTGATGAAAATCAAGACTAACTTCTAAATGTTTCCCCTTAATGTCAGCTACAATGCATATAAACGTTTACATCTTTAATCACAGTGGCATTTGACCAGTGCCTGCAGCTCTGATTAGCGAACCATGTGCAGTATTTGTACTTGTTTGTCCCGCAGCTGGAGCGTGAACGAGAGGATGAAATGCTAATCGCCTAAAACATGAAGCGTGAAATGAAAACCACAAAACAGACCAATAGTCCAAAGTCCAACGCCTTTGTCTGTAATAAGTAAATGCTGAAGGAGAATATTTTTTTGCTTCGGAGCCAAAGAGTTCAAATGTTTTAAAGCCTAGAGTAAAACTTTATTTCTAAATATCTAATATGAGTATAATACAAGTATATATTCTAGAGGTGGGGAGGGACCCACATTTCATGAGACGGGAAAACACAAGAGATTGGAGGAAAACTGGAATTTTGACTTAACTGATTAGGATTTTTGGATTATTATTCTTTTAATGTGTTTAACACACTCATCTAATAAAAATATGGGTCTGATCATTCTCATATTTGAATAAAATACGGATAGTTTTCACACAGTACGCACCGTCAGCTGAATGTGAAAAACATGTGTGCCTGTGTGTGCTCAGTTACTAGCCTCAGAACCTAGTCAGATTGAAACTGTGTATGTTCCTCGCTTGAAGTCTAAAGCACTATGTGCGAGGAAATCTGACCTGGGTGTCAGACACAGTAACTTAATAAAAGTTCAGACAGACAGAAATAGTTCTAAAAGTAGGGTTGATAAATGTGGATTAATGAACGTCAGATCAATCTATTTAGCATTTAATTAGGTAATATATAATATATTGTGTTTATATTATATATATATATATATGCTGTATTATGTTATATATTATGTTATATATTATACAATATATGTATTATGTTGTGTATTGTGTTATGTTGTATATTATGTTATGTTATGTATTATATGTGATATATATAATATGTATGGTACATGTGATATATATGATATATAATATAATATGATAATTAGGTTTGCCTGGATCGGTTTGCACACCTGGTGTGCAATCCATGAATCTTGGTGCTGTAACCTAGACTAGCCCAGCCGTGGCTGCTGCTGTCTCACATCCTTTCAGATACGCTCTATTTATTCAAGGCTAGGTTTAAAACAGTCCTCTTTAGTTTAGCATACGGCTAGGAAGGTAAGACTCAAGAAGGCTAAACTCCTCAGACTGTCAGTCAAGCTGCATAGGGAGTCAGTTTGCTGGGAGAAGTATGGTAACTTGAGCACTATCCTCTCCTCCTTCCTACTTTATCTGTTTACTATTATTAGGATTTTGACTGTAGTTTGTTCATTGCTATTCACCCGTTGTCCCATTGTATGTTTTGTTGTGTCTTTTATACAACATAGTATGAAATGAACATGGAAGAAGACTCGGAGATGGGTTTCAGCTTGAACGTTAGTTTACTGAAGAATTGCCGGTAACTGACGCTACAAGGTTACCATGACAACCTGAGGTAACAGTGCGCATACACATGACATGGGACCAATACAATGTATCAGTCCGCCAGAAGATATAGTACCACCCATACACTACACTCCTCCCCTTTTAGATTCATGTTTAACCTCGCTTAACAAATTAAGCTCATTAACATCATCAATACCATGTAACATAGTATTACTCTGTAACTGTGACATGTTTTTTTTTTTTTTTTTAATATATATATATCAATAATAGCACAAGACAATAACTCATAAGTCCAGCCTTCTTGGTGGTGCTCTGATTCTATCAGGGTAGCGCCTCGGGCCTTGTGGAGTAGTCTCTTTAGGGAGTACTTCTGCAGTATTAGATGTTGTACTGATGGCAGCCTCTTGATTTGAGTTGGATGACAGACCTGTTGGGCGTGCTGGCTCATCAGAAGATGATTTCTCAGTGGTCTTGGGTTGAGCATTTACCAGTTGATCCACATGACGCCTCCAAGTGTGCTCACCAACGTCCACTTTGTATGTCAGCGGTCCACTCCTAGTCAAGATTTTTCCAGGAGTCCACTTGTCCTTTCGATAATCCCGTGCCAAGACTGGTTGTCCCACATCAAAACTTCTTGCTGTGTCAGTTGACAGAGTGCTGAACTGTTTATTCTGTACTTCCCTTCGCAGATTTGGCTTCAGGAGGTCAATGCAAGACCTCAGACGTCTATTCATGAACAGCATAGCTGGTGTTTGATTTGTTGTTGCATGAACAGAATTTCTGTAGACAAGGAGGAAGTTGTCCACTTTATGTTGTAGGGAGATGTCCTCATTTGCCATAGCTTTAAGTGACTTTTTGAATGTCTGTACAAATCGCTCCGCCAGCCCATTTGTGGCGGGGTGGTGTGGTGCGGATCTGAAGTGCTTTATGCCATTTTTCTTCATGAAAAGGTTGAACTCTTCTGAAGTATACTGTGGGCCATTGTCACTTACGATTTGTTCAGGCAGACCATTTCGGGAGAAAATGTTTCTCAAAACAGAAATAGTCTTTTCAGATGTTGTAGACTTCATTGGTACGACCTCTGGCCATTTTGAGTGAGCATCCACAGCGATAAGAAACATCGAGTTCAAGAATGGTCCTGCAAAATCAATATGCACTCTTAGCCAAGGTGAAGATGGCCATTCCCAGGGATGTACTGGGGCCTGCGGAGGTGCATTTTGAGTGCTCTGACATCCTGTGCAGGTTTTGGTGATGTCTTCGATTTGTTTGTCAAGTCCTGGCCACCATACATAACTGCGAGCCAAGTTTTTCATTTTAACTGTGCCCAGGTGGCCCTCGTGAAGACTGTCCAAAACTTTTGTACGAAGTTTTTGCGGCACTACCACTCGTGATCCACACATCAGGGTTCCCTGGCAGACAGAGAGCTGGTCACGTCTCGCCGAAAACTCAGGAAAACTGGGAATCCCATGAGCAGGCCACCCTTGCATTGTGATGTCGTATATTTTTGATAGTGTCGGATCATTTCGTGTTTCTTTTTGTATCATAGTGTTTGTTACTGGTAACTGGTCCACAAGTGTTGTGTGGAACATTTCTGCTGGATCGCGCCCTGAAGACTTTTCTTCGGTTGTCGACAGAGGGAGGCGTGACAAACCATCTGCATTACAGTGCTGTTTAGTCCCTTTGAACTCAATGTCATACGAGTGAGCTCCTAAAAACAGCGCCCATCTTTGTAGTCTTGTTGCTGACATTACAGGAACTCCTTTTCTTGGATTAAAGATTGAGACAAGGGGCTGGTGGTCCGTTACTAACGTAAATCTTCGGCCATAAAGATAGTGGTGAAATTTCTTTATGCCCCATACCAGGCTGAGGGCCTCCCTGTCGATTTGGGCGTAATTGCGCTCTGCACTTGACAGAGATCTTGAAGCGAAAGCAATCGGCCGCTCTGATCCGTTGTCCATTGTGTGCGACAATACAGCTCCAATTCCATATGGAGAGGCATCACACGCTAGTCGGATGGGCCGTGATGGGTCATAGTGTGTTAGTAGATCATCAGATGTCATCAGTCTTTTTGTTTCAGCAAACGCCTTCTCACATTTTTCTGACCAATGCCACTTAACGCCTGTCTGTAACAGTGCATTCAATGGGTATAGAACTGAAGAAAGGTTTGGAAGAAACTTGTGATAATAATTTACCAGACCCAGATATGATCTTAGCTGTGAAACATTCTCTGGTTTAGGTGCTTTAAGCACAGCCTCGATTTTGTCCTGTGATTTTTGTAATCCATGCTTATCAATGACATGTCCACAATATGAGATTTGGTCTTTGAAAAACTCACATTTTTCTCTCTTTGCCCGTAGGCCATACTCCTTAAGCCTATTGAGTACCTTGCTCAGATTTAGAAAGTGTTCATCATCATCCTTTCCTGTCACAATGATGTCATCAAGGTAGCACTGTGTTTTTGGTATATCCTGCAGTACCTGATCCATCGCTCTTTGCCAAATAGCTGGTGCGGAAGCAACACCAAACACAAGACGATTGTACTGGTACAATCCCTTATGTGTGTTAATGGTCAGAAACGTCCTACTTGACTCCTCCACTTCCATTTGGAGATAGGCCTGTGACAAGTCAATCTTTGAAAACTTCTCCCCTCCAGCTAAAGATGAGAAGATGTCCTCAATCCGTGGCAGGGGATACTGCACAGTGTGGAGCACAGGGTTAATGCTGACTTTGAAATCTCCACATATGCGTACGTTTCCACTTTTCCCTTTCTTTATCACAGGCACAATGGGTGTAGCCCATTTACTCCAGTCCACTTTTGAGAGGATGCCAGATTCCTCTAAGTTCTGCAGTTCGGCATCTATCTTT